TTTCTAAAAATTCATTTAAACCCATAAATACTAGTTGGTCTTCACTGAAAATCGTCACCCGTGATTATGCCCCTAACACATCCACTTTTTTTCGTACGTATCAACGAGTTTTTCAAAATTTTTGTCTGCTTGGGTAGTGAGCACTTTCTTATATTGTACGTTTTCGAATTTGACTGATCAGTTTTTGCTAAAAAATGCTTCTCTTTAATATGAACTCCCATAGAATGTTTTTCTCTTTTCTGTCAATTACTTGTTTCTCTCATTTGTATTAGGACTAAGTAAACTTTATCTATAAATTCCCTATTGTATCTATGAAATCACGATACTAAAAGCAAAAAGGACAAAAACGTTGACGAAATCTCACTTGTAAAATTTTGGTTTTATTAGTCATTTCAAATACGGTTAACCAAAAACAGTGAACATAATACAAAATTAAATGTAGTCATATCTTCTTAGTAAAATTTTGTATCAATTGTAACTACAAAACCAAAACTTTGAGGAGTTTTAAGCTTAAGTTTATATGTGTATGTAACAAAAAAATAATATTTGTCTCATATTACAAGATATAATCATTAGAAATAACGTTTTCCAATTTATATTCAGCTATTATGGGACATTTTTCAATTAGCAATAGCAAGCAATTCAAATTAAAAAGACGCAAAATATTTAATATATTTCTTCTTAACATAGATCTCTCAATTGTATTAGAAGTGTATGTTATATTTAGTCCATTGGTTTTCTTTACCATCGATTGTTATAAAAATCGATAGAAAGCACGAAATAAATGCAATACAAGAAAAACCATTTGAACACGAAAAAAAAATTCTTTCACGTAGTAAAGTAGAGAAAAAACAGCAATCCAAATAAGAATGATGATATATAACAGCATGGTAACTCTCAGCTTCATAGTTTGGTTGAGAATTATGTAAACAGTTAAGAGTTAAAGCGTTTTAAACTCTATCTAGCATAAGCGAGAACATCAGTTGCTGAAAAATGAAAAAAACCCATTGACATTCATCTCAATTAATAATTCTCAATGAAAAGTTATATGGATGACTTTAAAGGTCACGCCGTTAGAAGTTAGACACAAATACAACAATTTAATATTTAAATGTCCTTGAATAGTTGCAAACAATAATAATGAATGTGAATCAAGTAAATTACTCAATATCAATAAAAATATCTTGAAAATGATGTTTTGTTTTGTTCAAAATATTTTTAAAAAATAATTCTTCTACGAAAGATACTTTCTTTTTGTTTTATTGACATTTGAAGCGCTAAATTTCAATCCAGTACATTTGAAAAGTCAGAACCCCTCATCTATATCCTTTATCTAACAGATTCAGAAGAATTTTAAGTTTCTTTTTTTTCAACATCACCAAAGAAAGAATCGTAGTTGTTTTGTTATTGCATTATTTTTTCAAAATTGACTGAACAATCTTTCATTATGCAAATTCAACATTACACAACCGTCTTGTGTAGACTATAGCAAAAAGAAAAGCGCTGCTGGAAGTTATGGTATGGAAACAAAGTATGATGTACCACATAATCATGTAAAATTTGACTCTGTATGAACTCACATCAGATATGTCTATTGCGGCTGAAAATCTGCCGCTGTCTTTTACATAGGTTGGCGTCGCGGTGATATAAAAAGCACAAGCTGCCGCGCCGCGATATGTTGAAAAACTTGCCGCTGTCACATCGATATTTTAACGAACGGTTACAACATTGCTACTACCCCTACATGAAGAAAAGCTGATATTTGTCGGTCTACAGTAGTCATAGTCTAGTTTTCACTCAAATAAATGAGGAGTAACGATTTAACTGCTATAGTAACAAATGAATTCTAAGTACATATAAAATAAGTATATTTCGAAGACCACATAGACTTTTTCAGTTCTTCGTGAAACAACGAAAGACTCTCAAGCGAATGGTAGATTTTTAATTTTTCACGCAATAGCTTCAATTTAAAGAGAAATGAAAATTCATGTGACTTTGAAGATGATTATAAGGTTTTAAGATGTATAATTAGAAAAAAAAATAATATAGAGATGAATGTTTAACTTTCTTAAGCTATCATACTCTATTGCATACAAAAGGTATTAGATTGACCTGTTCTGCTCTTCTTTCAAGAAAGAGAGAAAGAAACTTCTCGTTTACAAAAGGAAGACTAGTTTAATTTAAGCTCTGAAGGTAGAATTTTTTCTAGAAATTACACGGTGAATTTCTGTAAAAGCTCATGACACGCTACTGCCGCGGTGACCAAAAAAATTAATAGCCGCTACAGCGGTACCGTTGTAAATAGTCTGCCGTGTCACGTTAATCTCTAAAAAAATACTTGGCGCTGCCACGCCGCCAACCGCAGCAACAGCATGATGGACATCTCGGACTCACAAACATAAGTGGACAAATAAGCTGTCAACAGATTATATGTTACGAGATTTCAAAAATTTCATATGGATTCAAAAAACTGTTACACCTATTTTATCCTATGTATCAACGGTAAATATTCTGTATGAACTAGTTGGTTCTGATTTATGAAAGGCAACAATCGGCAAGGGTGTGGGTGTGGGAACATTCTTTGACTACCCACACCCTCAAGATAGTTTTGAAGTTTATTTTAGGTTTACGAAAACCTAGTTGTATTCAAAGAATGAAAATGAACTATATTTCTAACAATTGCATGTCTTTTCCTATGAATATTTGAACTAGAAAAACCTATTCAAATGTTAATAACAAAGAATAACTTCAATGGTTGTTCGAAATTCTTTATTTTTATTAAGAAATACAATAAGACAAACATTAATGAAAAATATTTTCAAGATTTTCTATTTTGTTCATGTAGATAAAATTAATGCAATCGAAACGATATAATTTTTTTTTTTGTTCAACTTTCTTTCAAATCATCAAATATTTGTCGTATCAATTTATTGGAAATCTTATGATGTTGTCGTAAATGGCCTCTTAAAGTATAAAATGGAACGAAACGACATCCACAAGATGGAATGACGAGATTGTCTTCAGTATATTTTGATGAATTTATTTGTTCATAAGAAAAAGGACATGGTACCTTATAATTATGACTAATTACATTTTCCTTTTCATCAAATAATTTTGTTATCCTAGGATCTTGATTATTGGCAACAGCTTGTATTAAACGTAGAACATAAACTTCTTTTAATCGATGTGCACGTATGAGATGTTTATATAAATGGATTTGATGATGTCTTCGATGTTGACATAACGTAATAGAATGATTTGCTTCAGTAAGACCATATGCACCATCAAATGTGAATGGACATTTACCAACAAATTTTTTGTATGATGCTTGTTGACGTTTTTTTTGTTTTTCGTTTACATGTTGATTCTGAAAAAATAAAACTAATTTCAATGTATGCAAAGGATTCCAAAATGGATTTAATAATAAATATCTTGAATACAGAAAAGCATAAAAAAAAACCTGGTGAAATACAAAACATGATACTGACATAAATTGATTTCATGTACTATTTCCTGAAAAATCAGATGTTTGATATTGAAAATATATGAATTTGAAAACTTCTCTAAATTATACGTATGAAACTCATTACAATAGTAAAATGATATTCTGAATAATAGTTTTGAAAAAAACAGATCTGTACGGTACAAATATTTCATGTATTCAGAAAATCATGAATCATCTACTTAGAATCTGATCAATTTAGAAATTTTCTTTTCTGAATAATTTCTATTGAATGTATTGTTCTTATTTTAGAAAAAATTTTACTGAGAAACATCTAGTTTATGATTTCTAATTTAAAAAGAAAAACTTTTCAATCAGATCTATTTCAATGTAGACTAGTCTGGATAGAAAAAATATATAAACGATTCTTTCGCCTACTAAGCGACAAGAAAAATTGAATATGTCGAGTCGGATATCTTCCTACTTTAATTCAGTATTTATTTAATGAGCATGTTTATCCACGGATAGAATTATTTTTACCTCTGTAGTTGTCGTTGTTGCACTAAATGAAAAAAATACAATCGATGTGAAATTTTTTTTTCTCATAAAACATATACTTACTCAAGTGCAATAAAATTTGGTTTGATATCATTTAAATTTTCATCATCTTAAATCATTTATGTTTATTTGTTTCTTTTTTTTTCAAATTAAAGAAAATTTAACTTACTTTTCGAGATTTGCAATTCTTTCGGCTCATCTTAACATAGAAAAAAAAATTTAGATTCTGTAGGCTTTATCAAATCCTGCCAGGGAACTCAATCCAAAAAAAAACAAGACTCATTTAAACTAGTTAAAAAAAAAACATGAAAGAAATCATGTCCATTACAACAGTGATTCAAAAAGAAAGATGTTCATTTATTGAAATATCAAAATTGTATTAAATAAAAAACTAACCTAAATTAAATTTACTTGCAAATAGAAGTTCTCAATCTAGAAAGACTTGGTTTGAGCTGAAATTTTCAAGCTAAATTATCAGATTTCGCTAAGAAATCGTTCTAGAAATGGTGATTAATAAGTGCGGCTATCTCTTTTGGTACACATCAGTATTTATGGAACCGTCGAAACAAATAAAATGAAAAGAAAAGATTTTATAGAGAAATGTTATCTTACCCTTGAAATATATGTTTTCCTTATTACATGTACAAATAGAAGAACAATATTTAGTTTCTGATAATAATGGTTCGACTTTTATCATAATTTCTTCTTTAATAAAATAAAAGAAAAATATATAAAAAAAAATAATGTTATTTAGTTTCTACCGGAATGATTTGATGCTATTGTTTGATTAATGTTTTCGAAGAGATTTCGTATTTCATCAAATGAACTGCCAGGCACATCAAGAAATTTTTCTGCTTGTTCAATCAAATTTTGTTCATGTTTAATAGGTAATAGTTTTTCTTCAACAATTAATTTTAGTTTATTTTTAACTGTATTTAGTTGATTACAGATATCATCTAATTGTTGTTTTTTTTGTTTTTTTGTTTCAAGATGTGTAATTAAATGAGTTAAACAAACAAGACGTAAACAACAATAACATTCAAATAATTCTTTCATTTCATCATCACATGTTATATCAGTACACAAACCTAATTCAGGCATTTCTAAAAAAAAAAGAAAAACATGAATATGAATATCTGTGGTATTCGTTGTCATCAGGGCTGCCAACTCCTAATTTTCAAATGGGGTACAGAAGATTTATAATGGGGTACAGTTGAGGTACAAATTTTTTTAAAATGAGGTACACCATTGGGGTACCTCATTTTCTTCTGAAACAGAGTTGTGGTAGATGAGAAACAGTCAAAAAAGGGTCTTTTGAGAAAACAGCATTACTTTAAAAACGATTCCACTGTAGAAAGAAGTACATTTTTCTT